TAGAGTATGACAGGAACAGGTGAAGGCTATTATCAAGACGTGTTGGTTGTTAGAGTATGACAGGAACAGATGAAGGCTATTATCAAGACGTGTTGGTTGTTAGAGTATGACAGGAACAGGTGAAGGCTATTATCAAGACGTGTTGGTTGTTAGAGTATGACAGGAACAAGTGAAGGCTATTATCAAGACGTGTTGGTTGGTAGAGTATGACAGGAACAGGTGAAGGCTATTATCAAGACGTGTTGGTTGTTAAAGTATGATAGGAACAGGTGAAGGCTATTATCAAGACGTATTGGTTGTTAGAGTATGACAGGAAAAGGTGAAGGCTATTATCAAGACGTGTTGATTGTTAAGAGTATGACAGGAAAAGGTGACATAGACTGTAATGACATGGCAATGTTCGAGTATCATTTTAATTAACAAACTCAATCTCTGAAGTATTGTGTGAAACTCAATCTACGTTTGTATTGTGTGAAACTCTTTAGTGGAAGTATAATCCAGACAGTATATTGTATAAAATACTTCAACTGTTTGATCATTGTTCAATAAACAAAAGAAAATTATGTAAACTTGGCTTTTATGTAATATATATATATATAAGATTTCTCACATAAACATGGTTCCAGGAATAAAATGATCCCATTCATGCCATCATATAAGACTTCAGTATTGTATTTAATTCAGGGTGGTTATGTTCTAGTTGGACAGTATTATTTGTAGAATTATATTTTCTTACAACATGAATGTTTTTATCAATCAGTTATATCTATCTGTCCATATGTAATGACCCTAAGGGGCTTGACATCATATTGGGCAGAAGATAAGTATAATAATACATTATTAAAATATTGGTTGGCTATATTTGTAAATGATGCTAGTAATGAATAGTAATAAATTAATCGTGTCATTATTGAGAACATAATGTTATTTGACTTTTTTTTTATTTGTTGCATAACCAATCAGTATTGGAATGTAATATATACAGTTGTAGTCAATAAAACTGTGATATAGTTCAAACTGCATTTGATAAATAGTGGTAAAAGAACCTTCAGAATTCGTAAATAAGATATAAAAAATTGAGTCGGCCATATTGAGCCTCGGTTTACAAACGAAACTAAACGTTAAAATGTTACAGTTAATTGTAAGGGAAATTAATTGTTTATCTACAAGATCTTATCAAGTAAGATTTTTAAGAACCTTGTCTGGTTAAATTGTTTGGTGTTTTTGTTACAGTTTTTAATGGTGTTTGCATTTTTACCTTTTGGGAGATTATAAAACAAAAAGTAAGTTTACTTCCCCATTGGCAGGTAATAACATATTAATTTGTTACAAGTTTACTTCCCCATTGGCAGGTAATAACATGAATTTGTTATAAGTTTACTTCTCCATTGGCAGATAATAACATGAATTTGTTATAAGTTTACTTCCCCATTGGCTGGTAATAACATGAATTTGTTATAAGTTTACTTCCCCATTGGCTGGTAATAACATGAATTTGTTATAAGTTTACTTCCCCATTAGCAGATAATGAAATATTAATTTGTTATAAGTTTACTTCTCCATTGGCAGATAATAAAATATTAATTTGTTATAAGTTTACTTCCCCATTGGCAGGTAATAAATTATTAATTTGTGAATAAAACATGTTTCTTTGGTTTATTAATATTTAAGACCTGAAGTAGTTAATATACACATTAAAACCTTGTCAGAATTATCACAGATCTAGTTGTCTATTTTAATGACAGTGCAGAAGGTAATTTTAAAATTTGAACTAATTCAGGTTAATACATTCTAGTAACAGATACAGAGTCATAGTAACCCCACACTGGCTTAATATAATTCATCATATTAAACTTCTAGATTTTACAAGTGAACTTATGACTGGAGACCCTGAACCACCAGATAAGACTGTAGAGAAAGATCAAGAGGTGAATATGCCATTTACCACACACACTTTTTAAATGATATTTCATGGTGAGAACACTAGTTGTAAGTGTTAAATTCTGACCCTTTATGGTAATATATTTCATTGTCTTGGATTTGAACCCGAGACTTATCAGGCCAGGTGAGTGTTCTACGAACTCAGATAAAGGGTTAACTCAAAGTGAGCCTTTTTTAACGACTCAAGCTTCACACCAAACCCATATTGTTTTTAGCTCTACATAATAAATAGTATGTTTAAAAAATCAATTTGAATTACATGAAACGCCTAATATAGACCTAAGCCTACTGTATAAGCTGAACAAGAAAATTATCATAATGTTTATAATAAGATTTAAAATTATTTTTGTAATCTCTTGTCTCTTTATTAAACTCTTTGTGTGTTGTAGCTAAAATTAGTGTTTTTACCTATAATTTCATTTTCTTTTGGGTTCAATGAACTTCAATATATTTTGTTTTTTACTTAAGCAGCCCCCAGTGCCAGATAAACAAAGAACAAAACCCCCTTCTGAAGAGGACTTTGAAATGATAAAATTAATCAGTAATGGAGCTTATGGGTATGCTGTTATTTTTTTAAGACAAGATTTTTTTAGGTCGTAGAATAATTCATGTATATAGTCTGTATTATTGTTTTAGAGAAGTAGAATAAACATAATTTTAATCATATTATTTTTATTTTTTAAAAAAAGGAGAGCAGATGAACTGAGTTTCTTTGGATAAAATCTTGCATATAAATATGGTAGAGACAAACTATATATTCTTATCAAGCCTTTTGTTTCTTGCTTATATAATTCAACTCCTGTGATTCTTTAAAAGTTCTCTGTTTGTCTTTTCAACCCACCAGCGCTGTTTACCTCGTGCGTCATAAGGAATCTCGAGAGAGATTTGCGATGAAGAAAATCAACAAACAAAATCTTGTCCTACGTAACCAGGTAGAACAAGCCTTTGCTGAACGAGACATTATGAGTTTTACTGATAATCCATTTGTCGTTGGCATGTTTTGTACGTTTGAGACTAAGGTACGTGAGCGAAAAAATTTGGTTATTGTATTCACGTACTTTTATATTATAGATATATTTATTACATCTCAAAAACACCACATACATCCAGTTATTTATTAATTATTTATTTTTCCACTATCTGTTTAGAAACTAGTCCAAGGAAGAATTTCCAGCTCTGTAGTAACTGTTTGAAAAAAAAAAGTGTTACAAGTTAATAAAGTATTTAGTTAAGATATGTTCATTATTGTTAACTTCAAGCAGCTTTGGTACATTTTTGTTTCAGTTCAAATATTAGGTTCAGTATGATTGTTTCGTAAAACAATTGTTTTTTTAAGTTATTCATTTTCCATTTTTGTTTGAGAGCCACCATGCTGAATTATTAGAAAACAACTAGTAATTCAAAGTGTTTTTACTCCTTTTGTTAATGAGAATAGGTGTTATTTTATTTATTTGTGCAAGCATCAAATTTTAGTGTTCTTGATTTCATATCTATCAATGAAGTAGCAGTGAAATATCTTTTGATTCGTTCCTTATTTTATTTTATTAAATGTTCTGGAGGTGTGGCTGCTGGCCTTATGGGTAAAGCTCTAGATTTCAAATCTAATAAGCTGGTTTGAAATCTGTACAACATCATAAAATATTTAAATTGAGGGTGCATTATAAAAATGACAGTCAGTTACTTACTGTAGGTAGTAGGGTGCTGCTGACTGGTAACCAGTGGCACAGCGGTATGCCTGCGGAATTATACTGCTACAAACCGGGTTTCAATACCCGTACTGGGCAGAGCACAGATAGCCCTTTGTGTAGCTTTGTGCTTGATAACAAACAACAACTGTTGAGTAGTTCAAAATTAGGAACAGTGACTGATAGCCTTAGTAGCTTTACCATAAATGTCTTGAAAATAAAAATATTCTGAACAAACCTGAAAGGTTACATTTTAAAATGCAATGCTTACACAACTGTTAGTGAATCGAGATAAAATTTCTCTATTTTTAGAAAACTTTGAAAATATGTAACTGTTCTATTTCAATTATATGTTTCAGCTTCTTTAAATAAGTCAGATATTTAACCTTTACAGGGTTTGTTAAACACATGTAAAAGTTTATTATAGAAAGTATCTTTAATACCTTTTTAGTATTAACATCGTCTGTTGTTATTGTCTATTAGACTAGAATGTAAAAGAGGATTAGCAAAAGATTAAGAACTTAACCAAACCAATTACTTTTTGAGCAGAAATGTTACTCAAAAATATGACGAATAATCGCATCTTTATGATATATGAATAAGTTTAATTATAGTGAGAAACTTTAAAATGTTTAGTAGTTTGAAGAGAAACAATTCTTGTTTGGATTATGTTGTATCTGTTAACTTGTACTTACATAATTAATTTTGTTTGTGTCACTATAGAAACATCTATGTATGGTGATGGAATATGTGGAGGGTGGTGATTGTGCTACGTTATTAAAGAACATGGGACCTCTGCCCCTAGACATGGCACGTTTTTACTTTGCAGAGACAGTGCTAGCCGTGGAATACTTACACAGCTACGGAATTGTCCATAGAGACCTTAAGCCTGACAAGTATATAATCATTATTTGAAATATTGCAGAAATACATAACACGAAACACTTTGATCATGGTGTAAAAACTGATATAGAGCTACAAAATGAAAGAGAATTGTGGGAAAAAAAACTATTAGTAAATTTAGAGAAAATAATTAATTCAGCTTTTCTGTGTGCTTACGCTTGCGTTAATTGTTGAGGAACAAACAATAATATCTTTATATTTCTAACCTGATTATATGTATATCTATATTGTTAGACACAAAGAACTGGAGACGTTATTAATACACAATCGGTTAAAAATAATGTATTTCTTCTTTCCTTTCTCCAGCCTTCTGATCACTGCTATGGGTCACATTAAACTCACAGATTTTGGTCTCTCAAAAATTGGACTAATGAATTGTGAGTAAATATATGTTATATATTTTATATGTAAGTGTTTTGTTTTTCAAATGATTACAAGCTCAACATATTAATATTTATTTGTATTTCTGTTTCTTTAAGTCTGATTATGTTGAATGTACTTGGATTTTTTTTTGGCCTAAACTTATTTCCTTAATGTAAATATCAGCCGTACTGTTAATTATTTGTTTTAGCTAACTTTAGTCCTGAAAGTTTTCACTAAACAAAACCTAGTGTAAGATAATTCTTTTACTAAAAGTATATAATCATAACAAAAATATAGAATGATAACAAATAAATTATACATTATTCATTCTAACTAATGCTGTTAATGAAAGAAATGATAGAGTATAATATACTTGTTATTAAGGGCCCTGTAACTAACAAAGGTGTATAAATAATTTAGAAAAATATGAACCAACTTACACAAATAAACATTTACGTATGAAATATACATCTGAACAGTAATGAGTTTCAGTCCCTGTAATGGATTATAAATTACTGTTACAAAAACATTTTTGTTTTCATATGACGATTATTAAATAACTTCTAGTGTATACTTATAAAACAATCTGAAGATAAATAACAATTACACAAACAACAAAATACTTACATTTACATACAAGATTGTGAAAAAAAATATGTTTTAACTTCAGTGGATAAACCAATAAATTTATTTACAAAAATTATATCCAAGTCAAATGTTTTTTAATTTTTCCTGAAATAAGGGACTTGAGGATTGGATTCCATTTCTTATTTTGTTGACTTTATTACAAATATAAGTAGGAATGGTTATATCAAGGTTTCTGAACCTAAGGTAAAAATGTGCTCAGATGTATGTTAAATATTTGTGGACCTTTCTTCTTCAGGGACAAACTTATCAGAATCTTAAACAGTAACTGACAGCCTTGTCTTATCTCTAAACCTAACCCATCAATCTCAAACAGTAACTTACCTTACCAGCCTTGTTTTGGCTCTAAACGTAACCCTTTCTAACCCATCAATCTCAAACAGTAACTGACCCTACCAGCCATTGTCTTATCTCTAAACAACTTCAAGTTTAATAATGAACAATACCTTCAGGTTAACAGGGCTGCATTGGGTGCCAAAATGACTCCTATTCCCCTGAAGGCGAAAGTTCCACTTTTCGAAAGCACTCAGGTTATAGGGTTTCATATCTTTGTGTTGAATTAATTTCTCCAACCCATGTGTTTTTCTAACATCATGAATGTTAAATATTTGTTTAACTGCTATATTTTATATAGTTGGGTGACGGCTTGATATTCAGGTTATAGGGTTTCATATCTTTGTGTTAAATTAATTTCTCCAACTCATGTGTTTTTCTAACATCATGAATGTTAAATATTTGTTTAACTGCTATATTTTATATAGTTGGGTGACGGCTTGATATTCAGGAATTATTGTTTAATAAACGTGTGTTATTAATTATTGTTTAATAAACGTGTGTTATTTTCAGCATACCGTATCCCCTACGTAATATCACTTCAGGTGCAATATACTCAGGAGTCCCAAACACTTGTTTATCATTGAACAACTTTGTGTCTCGGTCCAAACATCCTTCATAAAGGTTGGTAGCCACTAAAGGTAACAAAAATCAACCAATTAGATCAATTGATTGTATACATCTAGTCATGCTAAGTAGGAAAATCACTATACCAAACAGTTAGTGAGTTGTATTGAAAAAAATTTAAAAAAAGTAGGTAGTCCAGAAGTAGTGATGCACCAGTTGATGCTGATAGTACGACTGTCAACAACTATTGGTATCAGTAACCCTTGACTGCCACAGATACCAATGGTGGAAATTAATTACTTAATTAAAAAAATGTTGTGCCCAAATTTATGAATTAATTAACTTGGAAAATAATATCTGTATAACCAATAACCACATGTAAATATTGGTTATTAGTAAAAATAATATCTGTATAACCAATAACCACATGTAAATATTGGTTATTAGTAAAAATAATACATGTATAACCAATAACCACATGTAAATATTGGTTATTAGTAAAAAGTGATTTTGTTGCAAGGTTTAATTGTAATTTTATTTAACAAACATGAGTTATAAATATGGTAGAAGAAGTTGTAAAAATAGATTTCTAGAAAAATAAATGTTGCAACTGAACATGTGTACAGATATAAATGTTGCAACTGAACATGTGTACAGATATAAATGTTGCAACTGAACGTGTGTACAGATATAAATGTAGCAACTGAACATGTGTACAGATATAAACGTTGCAACTGAACATGTGTACAGATATAAATGTTGCAATTGAACGTGTGTACAGATATAAATGTTGCAACTGAACATGTGTACAGATATAAATGTTGCAACTGAACGTGTGTAGAGATATAAATGTTGCAACTGAACATGGTTACAGATATAAATGTTGCAACTGAACATGGTTACAGATATAAATGTTGCAACTGAACATGTGTACAGATATAAATGTTGCAACTGAACATGTGTACAGATATAAATGTTGCAACTGAACGTGTGTAGAGATATAAATGTTGCAACTGAACGTGTGTACAGATATAAACGTTGCAACTGAATGTGTGTAAAGATATAAACGTTGCAACTGAACGTGTGTACAGATATAAATGTAGCAACTGAACATGTGTACAGATATAAATGTTGCAACTGTACGTGTGTACAGATATAAATGTTGCAACTGAACGTGT